ACTAGACGGACAATTTGCCGCTCGGGACACTACCAAAATTTGATTCCGAGACAACAGCGCTGCAAACGCTAGTGCTGAACCATCAATCAGTCAAAATATTCATTTTCAAGCACACAGATATACATAAAAACAATTGCATTTTGATCATTTTCGGTAAAAAACTTTATTTTTTTGCCTGCACGAATTTGCAAACGCAAGAACTACCTGGATTGGTTTGCTTCAGTTCCCGTCTTTCGAGCTCAAGATGCCGTAAAGCAACTGCCAAATCATCAGCGTTTAACTGTAACACAGAAGAAAAAAAAAATAATGAAGCGGATAGCAGAATCTTCACAACAACATCATTCAATAACAATATGCTGTTCAGGGACGAATTACTAGGCCTAGCAATCGTGCTTTTAAGAAAAACTTTGGCCCATGAAGCCAATTTCGTCCCATGAAACGCTATCCGCAGTAAATTTGTTCCGACAACGAACAGGCATTGACGTAAAAATCAACAAGTTCTAGTTTGCCATCCACCAACTCTTGGATCTAGCGATACCATCCGCAGCCTTGCCAATGGCAGATTTACCACAAAGGAATAATGAAGCGGATATCAGATCCATCATAACTTTTCCTTCGGTAACAATATGCTATGCAGGAACGAATAACCGGTTTCATACTGTTCTTTCTTTCTGTATTCTATCGCATTTCCGCCATCTGCGTTTTCAAGGTCAACTTGGATGCTGCAATCTGCTTACCTAGTATTTTCAGCTATTCAACATCGCCGCCGATAGCCCTGTTCAACTACACTTAGCGTATACGCGTGTCGCAAAAATATCAACGCTACAGTTCTAAAGTTTAGGCGATCTTGGTAATTTTAGCTAACTTTAGTGGCCAGTATACAAAATCAACAAATTCCACCCGTAAGGAGACCATCATCACAATTTTTTTCACTCGCGATGAGGTAATGATGCTGAACAAATCTCAAGAATATCTCGGGACGAACAAAGCGCTGTAGAAATTTAAAAGATATAAACAATGGATATCCCTGGCTGGAAATTGGAGGGAGACAGGAAGGGGCTGAAATCATCTGTGCGTTAACATATCTAGTTTGTTTGGCGTTGTTGGCTCTGTAAAAAATCTCTGCCAGAACAACCGTTGGGCTCACATTTTGATGATTGGGCAAAAATAAAGTTAGGATCAGCAGCAGGCTGACCATAAGTGGGTACAGCACTGGTCCAAGCAGCTGGAAAAGAACCAATTGCATAGCTTTAGAATCAGACTATAAAGGACAGCTGAACCAGCAAGTACCGAAGAATTATCAACAAAAGCACAAGCAAACATACAGAAGCTCCAAATGGATTGTGCTCCAGAACTGCACTCAAACAGGCTGCAGCATTTCGTCGCACCGAAATCGATTTATCCAAAAGACGACCCCCGATATCACGGATAAGACCACTGTTGATAAAAATTATTGGAATCTGCGAGGCACGTGCCAACCGGGTCCACAGCTGCAGCACACGAGATCGTACCACGGCGTTTACATCTGCTGTATGATCCTTAAAATAGCGTTTCCAAATAATTATAGGCTAGAAACAAGAATTTAAAAGAAAGCACGGGAAAGTCGCCAGTATCCAAGTACTCAGATAATCCCCCAATGAGGAGATCAATGAAGGCTTCAACTTTCACCAACTATAATTGACACAATCTTCGTACTGACGAGGTCCAACTGTGGTACTGGTAAGAAATGCATATGACTTAATGAACCAAAACATTTTTTATTATTATAATAATCTCAGAAATTTTCTAATTTTCATTTTTTCTCTTTTTCTCTTTATTTCATTCCTTATTACAACTTCCTATTGTAACAGTTGGCAAAAAAATTATCATCTAAACCACTTACGAGTGATTGGTTTTCAAAAAAGGGAAGTTCTGGTTTTATGCTTCAGTGGTTTATGAACTACAAACATTTTTTTTTAGATAATGTAATAGAACATGTACCTGTAAATGTAGAAGAAGCCGATCACGAGAACGTCGGAAATTACCCTCTGGCAAATTTCCTTTGTAAACTTGCATAACAATTTCGACAAATGCACAAAGAACTGCACAGCGAAGTGCAGATGGCTGAAAAAAAAACACGCTTAACTGTACTGCAATGCATTTTAAACGAAATGAAGGCCGTAAAAAGGACAAAGTGATTTACTGAATAATACCCACGCAATACTACCTAGTGGTGCCTATGCATAATAAGAGTTCGGGCAAACTTGACGTAGCCATAATCTTAAAATAACTGCGATAAAATTGCTCAGAGATGAAAGACAGACAGGCTACAGATCACTGCACATACAGGCTTACTTATTTGAAAGATCTAAATGCCACTTCCAATTTTCATTAATTGTCAAAATTCGATTATGTTCCTCTTCACGGCGGGTCAATAGCGCCAAACAAACTGCACATGTTAACATATAAAAGATTTCAGGCCCCCGTTCTCTTCCAATCTCCTTGCCAGGGATATTCACTGTTTGTATCTTTAAAATTTCTGCAATATTTCATATGCAGTGATAAAGGTGATGATGTTACAATATTTGAAAAACAAGGAAAAAAAAAAGCCAAAAACAAACATCATCGGCCAAGAATGGTGCAATGTTGACGATATGCTTGTTCAACAGATGTGGCTTCTTTTCGGCTAATGTCATAATGAACAAAGCAAAAGGACGAGCCGAGACATCGCTGCGCGTAAAATCACTTTTCGATAAGCGTCCTAAAAACACAAAACAAGTACTAAAAAGTCATAAATCCTAGTATTTTCCACCAAAAGCTAATTAAACTAAAGAAGTCCTGGATTTCACGTGGATTGCTTGAGAAATATTTGGAACTCGGGATAATTTTCATTTCACTTTCATTTGCGCTAATCTGGATCAAATATCAACAAAAAAAAGCACATCTTATTTTTAATGTGAGCTGGACAAAACAATACCCCACTGTCTCCGCGCCTTTACAGCTCAAATACGAATTATTTCCTCGATTCATTTCCCAGTGGATTTTGGTATTTTTAAGGTACAAACTCATTCAATCCAAAATTTTCTTAAAACATTTTCGAATTTAAAAAAAATCTGGATTCGTTTATCTACTCTACTGCACATGCGGCTGGAATTCCCTTTTTTCTGAATGATTTAAAAAAAAATTTATCTATATTTTATGTTACAGTGGTGAAGCTCTAGATATTCAAATTTTTATCCTTCAAAATCTTCAACCTTCAAATCAAATTATTCACACTTTTCTTCATTACATGAGTAACTATGGTGTTTTCACCAGGGCAAGAAAGGAAAAAATAAAAGTCCCTGCTGCCCAAATATACATGCTTCACAAAATTTTTTAAAAGAAACTCTTACCAAGCGCGGCAAGCATTGCTTGAAAGAGCGTATCCATGTCATCATAATACGAGACCGATTCGATTGCGTCCACGAACGGAGACTGAGTAAGCGAAGATAACGAGAGATAGTCAAGGCGTTTCATTAAATTCACCAATTTCGCACCAATCTCTGTAACCAGCTACTTTCAACCGTCTTCTATTTTTTGTATTTCATATCCGCGCACAGTCAAGCGAAACTGGGGAGGCCACCAGTGAGGCGTAGAAACCCCATGGTACACCAGTACGGTATCGCGTGGACTCGGACAACGCAACAACGATTCGAATGGAGAAGTTGCCAGCTGCATCGATGGCGTGATAACGGACGTCGATGACATACAGCTACTACTCAGGCATTCAAGTAAGTATCTTGTCAAACACATCCATTAGGAAAACTACCGAGCTGGTGAGCCCCGTCAGGAAATAAACCATATCGCCAGTAGGCTAAGCGACAGGGGGTGCGATATTAATTAAATGTAACTGGCAATGCAATATTAATCGAAAGTAACCGATTTGGAAGCTGTTTAAGCGGCTTTTCCTTCCCCGCACATACTATTTCGTTGAAATTTATCACAGAACTAGGACAAAGATAATAATCTGTATGAAAAACAAAGTACTTACTGGCTGCTTCGTTATAATCAATACAAATCACTTTGATGTAGCTAAAGATTGCTTGCAACCAATCTCGTCCACTAACTTTACCCAGCTCCGGATTTTCAAGAAACTTGTACGCCAAATCTACCGAAATCCTGCAAAATAACAGTATTTTTTAAAACTCAAAAAAAAAAAAAATGATTTCAGCAGCGATGAGGGGAAGTAAGACGCTACATTTAAACGCGATGGGAAAATACGCAAACTACAAACTCTTTTGTATTTAAGCTTCTTCCACAGATGGAGGTATCCAGAAGTGAATCGAGTTACAATCCTTTAAAATTCAAGGAATTCAGCCGTTCCGAATTTTCTTTGGTTTTTACGGGGGCCGTTACTTCAGAAGGTATAGTTCGGCTTATCAACAGCCGCAAAAAAACACTTGATAATTTCACCCTCTTCAGTGGCTCTACTTGGACCGTTTAATTTTGGTTCGGCCTTCTATTACACAAGTGAAGGCAGTCAAATACTCAAATCTGCCAGTTGGAAAACCAATCCAGTCCAATCATAAAATGTATTGGCGTGGGTCAAAAAGTCAAAATCACTATTAACCTGCTTCAAATGATTCTCGCCTAACCTACGGTGTCATGATATCATGCCAAAATTGCTTTCTACAACGTACTACCTATTTTCGTCTGCCTATGACTGTCTAAAAAGTGAAATACGAAGGTTTTTGAATAGCATAAACCAAATTTAATCGCTTACTTTAACAGCTCGGGTGGCACAATCGAGGGTTGCCAAAGAAAACGAATAGCTGTATTACGCTTTCGACCCTGCGCATCGATACTATTTAGAGAAAATGTTCGGCGCAAAAGCTTCAACGTATTGGTTCGATCTTTTGTCCAATCCATCAGATACTGATCATCGGCTTTTTCAGCAGTTCCTTTGCGGCTTTTTTTTGCAGCCGGTGCTTCAAGTTGCCTGAAATGCTTGCAAACAAAGAATACACACATACATATGCAAACAATGCCCATCAATCAGTAGTGAATAAGTCGTAAACAAAGCCGAAATGAGATGATATGTGACTGACCGCATAAAAAGCTGAGAGCTCTCAGCTTTATCTAAGCAGATTCGTCTTATTCACGAAGGTTAAGAAATCATAAAACTGTGGACGACTCAACTTGACTCTACCGGACGTTTTTTTGCTGCTTAATCTATTTAGCATCTTACAAATAGGCAAGACTGTTGAAATGTAATTTAAATTACAGTTCCTATATCGATTGCAAAAGCGTTTTTCGAAGTCCCA